GGCTCCTTGCTCAGTGAGGAGCCTGCTTCTCCCTCTCCCTCTGCTGCTCCCCCTGCTTGTGCTCTCTCTCTCTCTGACAAATAAATAAAAATCTTTAAAAAAAAAAAAAAAGAGAGAGAGGGAGGTTTTTGCGTCAGTGTGTAATTGATTAATCGTCCCAGTCTGTGTGCAGTATACAGAAAGGGGTAACTCTAAGCCTAGCTACTTCTCCAGTTTTCCCTTAATCTGCTCAAAACAGGTTCTCCATGTGGTAAAACTCCCTAGGAGATCGCTTGATATAGAAAAACTCAGTAGCACTATTTGCTCCATCCCTTACGCATATAAGTCTCTCCCGACATGCTTGGAAAGACTTAAAAGAACAAACTCTTTTCATTGTGACGTGTATCTGGAACGTACTAGAATTTAATAAATACCTGTTCAATGAACAAATAGTTGGCATAATTTGCAGGAGATACATCCTTTACAAACTTAGTACTAGCTAGATATCCAAGGATGTTTGTAAATCTGTGGTGTTCATAATCCTCAATTTTGGTAAGAGCTGGGTAAATATTAGTAGATGTGTTTTTGTAGACATTTTACTCATTAAAATAATTATTTTCAATTGCTTTTGATAAGATAATCATCTTAAATGAAAATAGGAGTTGTTTTAAGAAATTCTTAGTCTGGGAAATGAAGATTCAATTAGATATTATTTATGGCTATTAGCGTGTTCATAGACTTTAAGCATCTACATTAATATTTGTGATAAGGTAACAGAATGTTAAGAAATGGTGTTAATCAATTTGACAGAACTTACATTTGTATATGATATATGATTATTAATTGAAAATAGTCCTCTTGGAAATATTTATTCCAGTCATGTCATTGCTCAAAACGATTTTAGAACACGCTTGTTGACGTTGCTTTTAGATCTGGCACATAAACCACACAGTAAACTTGGTGATATTACTCAATAGTCATGCCTAATATTTGATCAAAAGCGGTATTAACCAAATTGGTCACCCATTTTATTCACCAGATAAAATCCCCAAATTACTTTTGACAGTTTTCAAAAATGCATTTTATAGTGAGATGAAGTTCACTAACAATAAGAATATTCAAAACAAATGTGATGCAGGCATGAAGGGAGGGGAGAGAGTGAGTAAGAGCAAAAATTTAAGATTTAGGTCAAGTGATGGGTAAGTGGCAAATGACCAGGTGAATCCTACCAAAAGTAAAAGAAACACCTACGGCCCCTAGAGCCTATACATTGCCAATGTCCTCTGAAAGAAAGTTATTAATAATGAAGTGATACTTCTTGCAGTCTGACTTCTCAGTCTCTTCTCCCCGGTCTTTTAGCACTGCCCTAGAATTCATTCCTACATGTCTTCTCTTTTCTATTTCCAGCCCTGTGGCTTTAAATATCACTTACATGTCTTTCTCTTCTATATTTATAACTCCAGCTTGGAATTTTCCCTAAAATCCAAAGGCGTATGTATAACTGATTACTCAACAACTCTAGTAGAAATTGAATAGGCATCACAAACTTAAGATACACCAAATCAAACTTCTGATTATTGCCCCCTAAACCTGCTTCTTTTACAATCTTTCTCATGTCAGGAAATAGCACCTTCATCCTACTATTTGCTCAAGTTAAAGTCCTTAGAGTCATTTGACATCTCTCACAAACGACAACCAATTTATCAGCAAGTTCTGTTGGCTCTGCTTTCACAATAAATCCAGAATGCCACCACTTTGCACCTTCACTGCTACCACAACTACCATAAATTGGTCGAGCCACCATCATCCCCCACCTGAATCACTGCTGTAATCCCTTAACAGGTCTCCCTGCTTCTGCCTGTATTTCCTTCTAATCTCTTCCTAACCTAGGAACCAGAACATTCCTTTGAGCATAAAAGTCAGATCTTGTCATTCTTCTCTCATATTTTTCTGTGGGTGAGGCTTCACATCACTTACAGTTAAAGCCATAAGTACTTATTAATCGATGAGGTCCTACCAATCTGGTCTCTGTGACCTTTCCGACCTCATCTCCACAGACTCCCTCAGTCACTCCACTCCAGCCTCAGTGACTTCCTTCCTGCTCCTTCAATATGACCGGCATGTTTCTGCCCCAGGACATTTGTACCTGTTATTCACTTTATCTGGAATGTTCTTGCCCAGGTTCATGGCTCAATCTCACATGTCCTGAAGGACTATGTCTTACTGCCATGTTTTCAGTAAGGTCCTTTCTGACTCTTACATGGAAAACTGCAAAACCACTACTTGTTGCCACTTCCAAACTTCCTTTCCTTCTTTACTTTCTCCACTGCCCTGTATTACTGCTGTAACCCAATGGGCTAAAACAATGTCAAGTACACAGTAGGTGTTCAATGAATACTTTGTTGAATAAAAGAATGTCAAATTATTTCTGATGTAAACAACTAAGAATTAGGATCTTGTTCACCTTGCAAAAATCATCACCACAAAGTTCTCATGCCTTGCATTTTTCACAGCTTCCTTTAAATGACTATTTTATTTCTTCTGCTTATCCGAAGACAGAGATAACACTATAATATAAATGACAGGAAAATCTATCTATAAATTCTCCACATATTTTCTTTGCTCATTTCAAGTTTTAACTAATTGTTACTTATTTTTTGAGCCCTTTGTATGTTCGCATTCCGAAGTAATCAGACTAAAGAAGTTGTGCTTCATTTTAATGTTAAAATGAATTATTCTTCCTGCAATTCTGTTATATTTAATATTAAGTGTGATGAAAAGAATTGTTTATCTTATATTGAATCTTTGAAGCTTTGCTCTAAGAATTACTTTCCTTCTGTGAATTCACAAGCGAAAACAAAATTGCTAAAATTTTCCCCTTTTAAAGAAGCCCAAAATGATTTATTCTAATGAACAGAGACCGACAAAATAATGCAGTTATTTAGAAGCTCGGCCAAGATTTTTTAAAATAATATTTCAGTTTATATAACAAGGAAACATATAAAAATCATTTATATCGGAAAACTTTTTAAAATATTTCTAGCATTTTCCCATATAGCCCACTATAAAATGCCTCTAGCCTTGACATCTGCATGTCTCTATACGTTGCTGTGTCTACAATGTCTCTCTTGGTCTCATGGATTCCCCTCATCTGTGTCACTTCCACACTCTTTTCTTTTACCTGCTTCAGAATATGTGTATTCTTGAAGGCTCTAAAAGTAATCAATAAGGATTCTAGACTCTTTCTGATATTGAATATGCTCACACTGTCAGAGACTCTTACACTGTAACAATATAATATGATTTCAAGTGAGGAAAAACAGAAGCAGGACATGCCTCAAATGGAGGGCTGTTTAATCTTTTCATAAGAGACAAAATAGAAGAGAATAGTTGCTATATGAAAATTAACAGGAGAAAAGATAAGAAATAACAAGTGTTGACAAGGATGTGGAAAAAAAGGGAACCCTTGTGCACATTCCTAACAACAACATAATGTAGATTGGTGGGAATGTAAATTGGTGCAGCCACTATAAAAATCAGTGTGGTTTCCTCAAAAAATTAAAAATAGAAATAAATACCATATGATCCAGTAATTTCACTACTGAATATTTACCCAAGAGGATGTAAATACTAATTTGAAAAGATACATGTACCCTTATATTTATGGCAGCATTATTTACAATAGCCAAGATATGGAAGCAACTCATGTGTCCATTGACTAATGAATGGATAAGGAAGTTGTGGTATGTGTATGTATATATATACATATATATATGTCAGAGAAAGACAAATACCATATGATTTTACTTATATGTGGAATCTAAAAAATAAAACAAATAAATGAACAAAAGCAGAAACAGACCTATAAATACAGAAAACAAGCTGTATTGTTGCCAGAGGGAGGGAGTAGGGGAACGAGTAAATGGGTGAAGGGAAGTGGGAAATGCAGGCTTCCAATTATGGAATGAATAATTCATGGAGATAAAAGGTACAGCATAGGAAATATAGCCAATGATAATGTAATAGCATTGTATGGTGACAGATGGTAGTTA